CCCCAAAACCCCAAAACCCCAAAACCCCAAAACCCCTCAAAACTAGTGAAATTAAAATTATATATTTATATTATGGAAAGGTATGTCGATGGCTCAGTGCCTCTCGATGATTTTGTTGAATACATCCAGGATTCTACCACCCAGAGGTTACCAGAAACAAGCATGGGGAAATAAACTCAAGCGTGCTCTCAAGAAATCTAAAGGATACGTCGATGTTTATAATACAAAAGACTTCAGCTCATTAAGAAAAGGGCAAATTGTGATTATTCGAGCAGTAAATGATTTCTTTTAAGGAAGCAGATGCAACGGAGGATGGTCCCTCCGCTAATAGCATCACCTCTGTATACAATCTCTTCGAAAACATATTAAATTATTCTTATGAAGACGGACATAGGATTATTCAAGCAGAAAACTATGCAGGTAAGAAATCTAAATCAAAGGCAACAGAGTAACATTTTATAGACTGAGCACTACCACTCTTACAAATAATAGGGTTTGAACCCGGCTCAAGCTCATCAACATTAGTATTACCATACAGTGCCAACCTAGCTAAAATTCTATTGGCTCAGGACTATCTCACCTTGAAGATCAGCGAAGAAATTGAAAAAATCTTCTCAATTGAAATAGATAAATATTTGCCTTTTCCTTTCTTTCAGAGGTACTCTGACATGCTGGGCATTAATCTTCCAAATGACGACTTTGAAGAGAAAATGGACCTTAAGATCACTAGAGAAGAGGCCATAGCCATCTATAAAGAAACAGGCTGCAAGAATTTAGAGGATTATATCATTGAATTAGGAGAAAATAGTGAAGAATTTCAGAAACTAATTTTTGAAATTGTTGGCACTTCTCCTCGAACGAACCAGTTCCTGACAATCATCAGAGAAATGTGGGTAGAATGCAATGTTCTCAGACAAACAGTATCGTATCTGAGACAATCATTTGCAGATTTAGTCAGTAGGGCTCAGCTGGTAAATGTATATGACAAGAATTCAAAACTTGCTAGAGGAATTGCTTGAATTAGCATTACCGAAGCAAATGGAATAAAATAATGGAACTAGTAGTACTATCAACACATTGGAAGACTGAGTCTACTTTTTCATCGAGCGTGAAACCTATCGCTGGCAAAAGCTCAATGAAGGAATCAAAAAAGTAGATAAGGAGCTCGAAGTAGGCTTCAATGACGAAAATTCTAAGGAAGATCCTAGCCCTGCTAGTGATAAAGCCAGAGCAGTACGCATTGAGAAATTTTGGAGTGATATCAAAACTTTCATAGTCGAGAGACTTTGTAAGAAAATCATAAACAAAAGAGATAATGTATCTGCTGAAAAACTAAAAGATTGGATTGAATCAAGAGAACCAGATCTTACTTTTACTGATCTTTCTGATTACAACAAGAAGCGTATTGAAAATGAAGAAGTCTTTCAGCATTTTGGAGCTAATGATCAGTTTAATACAAATGCTTCCAAGACTAGTGTTGTATTTTCCTCCTCAAAATTATTCAATATGCATGAATCTTCAAAACCAATCTATGATATAGCAAGGAATGAGATGTGGAAGCCCATAGTATGGCTTCACCAGAAGCAGCTCATAGATGACTTTATCTTCTTCACTATACTAAGTGAATTATGTACATCCCATGGAGAACAGATTGCATTCAACATTAAGCAGAGTTTTGTACAGTTTATTACTAGCAACATGCCAGTCCTACTAACTCTTGATGGAATCAAGAGCAAGAAATACACAAGCATTTGCCGTAGAGAAAAGAACTGGGAACAACCCCTCGACATTGGTTGGAAAGTAAATACTCAACTTAAAGCTCTCATGGAAGGAGAGGAAGCTGGCATGGAAAATTCACCTCAAAAGGCCAAGGATAATTTTAAGTCTAAAGAATGGAAGTATCTGTACAAGAATCCTTATGATAAGATTCTTTTACCCATTGTTGTAAATAACCATCCTGAACATTGCAAGTTGCATGTTGGCTGGGGATCTGACATAAATAAACCTGACTTCCAAGGTTGGACTTCTCTCCATTGAGCAGCTTATTCTGGAAATATTGATATTCTCAAGTATCTCTTAGAAATCAATCAAATCGATATTGAAGCAGAAGATGATGAAGGAAGAACTCCATTACTAGTCGCAATCGAGACTGGAAATGTCTTAGGCAACGAGAATGCAACTTCAGTTTTGCTAGAATATGGAGCCCAGCTAGATAAAGACCTTTGGGATAAACTATTGATTCTCTCAGTAGACCATGATCTAATTGTATATCCAAGAATAGCATTGAAAAACGGAACTCTTTCTCTCAAATTTAAAGGAGAAGAGAGATTCTCTTTACACAAAGTGGTGAAATCGACAGCTAGAAACTTGCTTCAGTTCCTTATCCAGAATGTGGATGAAAAGCATTTGAAATAAGGCTGCTTGTATAAAAGATAAAGACAAAAATACAGCATTTGATCTCATCAAAATCTGTGAAGATGAGGCATTTAAGAAAGAATTTGAGGACAATATTCCAAATGAGCCTGTTGAAGATGATAGTGACTCCGACACTATCCAAGAGCAGACAGTAATCCAGAGTATCAATGAAGATGTCTTCATAGAACAAAAGAAATTCAATGAGCCTTCCAGAGCTCAGGTAACTCGTGATGAGCAGAAGGAATACATCCTTCAGATAAAGAAAGATCTAGAAGAAGAGTATAAAAATGATATTGCCAAACTCCAAGAAATGGTTATCAAGCAAAATGCGATGATCAAAGAACTTCAGAAAGAGAACTCGGAGGCTTACTCTAAATCGGGTAAAAGAAATATTGCTAAGAAATAATTCAGTTTGAACTCTATTGACAGGCTAGTAAGAGATAGGGGTAATAGCCATATTAAAACTCAGTAATTTTATACTACTAACGATTTTGGGGTTTTGGGGTTTTGGGGTTTTGGGGTTTTGGGGTTTTGGGG